CCCTAAAAATAAAAATTGCCAGACCGAGTGTTTCTTTGTTTTTTTTTTGCATCAATAAAAACAAAACCTGAGTATACAGTTTTCAATGTTGTTTATAAATCAGAATATTCTAGAAATATTATATTAAATGAAACTAGTACCATGAAACTAGTAAATGAACTTTAAAAATCATGCCTGCGATCGTGTCCCTGAAAAACCATTTAAACTTTGCAACCATATTTTTCACCGCATCCTGCATATAAAGGTGTCAGGTTTCGTCACGTAAAAAACAAAACCGTCTTTTTTATTACACACAAGCACGCACATTTCCCTAATGTGCCTAGTTTCTACTGTAAACAGAAACCGTCACAGATTCGTTGTATATGGAAACCACCCTGTACCAGCATGGCATTGACGTACCTCAAGGTCTGTTTAAGGGTCTATTAGTTGAGCTAGGACAAGCTGTGCATTAACGAAACTGAGAACCGGGTACACGGTGGTGTAACCTTTTGCTAATCCGGAAGCCGGAAACTTATATAAGAAATAATGGCAATTTGGGGTAAAATGGGAATTCGTGCTTAATTGTTATTGATTCTGGTATTTATAGACCCATTAGGCCTATTACTTTAATGGGAGGTAAATTAAATGTTTATGTCTTTTGAAGAGGATTTTAAGATTCATTTTAATGATTATGATTGCGTGATTCTGGCTGTAGTAAACAACAATATCGACAATAGATGTCGTCCACACATTACAAAGGTCATTCCCAATAAAAAAATAAACGGAATAAATTTAAAAAAGGGGGATATTGGGCTGCCATATTTAGTTTTCTATGCTCTATCTGGTGTGTATAGCAAATTCCACATAATATTTATGACTTCTTCAATTATACTTTTTATTTACAACGTGTTGCAAATGTCTTAAAAAACAACAATAAAAAAATGAAATAAAAAAGGCATAGATTAGAGAAGGTACAAATATGGGCTACCATTTTGTTTATTGCTTATATCTTGACTATTTTTTGATCGAAAAACTTCAAATTACATAATTGTCATGTAGAACTGTTTTGCTCTTTTGTTCTAGTCCGTTTTTCTGCCTAGACAGATATTTTTTTCTGTAATGTCATAAAACACTTACGGTGTCATTTAAGTAAGAAACGGAAACGTGATATAAATATGGCTGCTAGTATAAATATTTTTATTTTATATTTTTTTATGTACAATATTCATACACATATTCATCTCTTTCTGCACCAGAACAATCTATGTGCCTACAAGTTGCACATAATTCACTGAATCCATTTTTTACCTCGATAATCCTCACAAAATCTCTTCCAAATCCATATCTTCATCAGCTGATTGAAATTCCTGCTCACTATCGTTGTCAGAAGAACTTTCGATTTCCTTTTTATGCCTCCTCGCTGACTTGTTTTTAAGTTTTTTCTTAGTCACCTCCCTTATGGACTCAGCCGTAATGTGTCGTTTTACTGCTTGTAGGGTAAACTGTGCAAATACCGGTCAGTGGGTAATGGCGGTCATCCCGATTGTGCGAAATCTATTCAATCTGGCAACCTCCTATAACTGCCAACGTGTCGCTACACTACTCTATATTCAGATTGCTGACGAGCGTTGAGTTGGCGCAAACCATTGTCATAGAAATATTATTAACCTGTTTTCAGTGTTTTCGATCTTATTTTTATGCTGAGTAATATAAGGTCTTAATTCATTTTTATTCACTTGTAGATCTTAAAATTGGTTACAATTGAATATAATCACGTTAGCTGCCTATTCCTTTTTTAAAGATCAATATTTTAATAAATGTTTACGAGTAAAAAATTTTAAGAAAAAAAAATGCCAACAGGAGGCAATGCCGGTCAGTTGACCGGTATTACCCCCATGCTATAATTTATACCCTATACTATTAATCCTTAGGGATTAATCCATCCATTTTTCGACATTGCAAGAAAGAATAAAAAATAAAAATCTTCAAGGTGTCTCATTAGGTAGAAAATCAGTATTTTCTGCCGAACAAGAAGCTAAAATAGCCACAAAAAAAAATATTTAGCTTAATTTTTTATGGCGTAACAGCAATAGAACTGAGAAAATTAGCATTTGGGTTTACAAGATAATTTTTCTTGTAATAAAGCACCTTTTTCTTGTAATTGGCATTACAAGAAAAAGGTGTTTGATTCTAGTTCTTTGGAATCGGATATTGATATATCATGTGATAACAGTGACGATGCATACGAAGATAGATGCCTGGTTTACAGCGAGTTTGGCAAAAACAATGAATTGTGGTAGATATTTACCGTTTGCTCACGATGTTCTTATTCAGAGTGCAGTGGATGGGATTCTGCAGAGAGTTATACCTGCGATGACTGTCAACTATTTTTACATTAAAACACATATTTTTGTTATTTTTTGTTTGTTTTGTGATAAAAAATATTTTTTCACCTTTCTTACTGATTTACTTGAATTATGACCCATTAGGCCACATTCGTTAATCGTTTTATAACAAAAAAATGTTAAATGGATATTGATTTTTATTTTAATAATAACACAAACAAATTGACTGGCATTACCCACACTCATGACCGGTATTGTCCATGTATGGTGACAATACCGGTCAAAGATACTTTTTTATGTTTTGTCTCTGTCAAAGACAAAAATTTTACATTTTTAAAATTAAATGTATCTTGCAATAAGTTAAAACCCCAAATTACGGATTGACGGCTTAGATCTGATTCACAGAGTTTTACTTTTTTTATATTAAATTTTCTTCTTAGGTGACCGCGATTTGCACACTTTACCCTACATTTAGCTTCTTTTTGCTGTTTTGCTGGTCTAATGCTTCCTTGTAAGGTGAAGAAGTTATTACCGTTGATTTCGATAATTTTCTACCACGATTTGTAGATTTTTTCCTGATCAACGGCACTGGCAATATTTCAAATGGACTTACAAACTTCTGCAAACCAGAAGGACCTGGTTCACTGATGTTGATTGCTTCTAGTGTTTTTGGTAGGATAGCAGGTTCAATAGCTTGTGGACTTACAAACTTCTGCAAACCAGAAGGACCTGGTTCACTGATGTTTACACATTTTTTAAACGGTAACACAGACTTGGATTGAGAAAATTGTGACAAGCTACGACAGAACCATAATTTAAATTTTTAGAGATTAAGGGCCAATTCTTCGAATGCTAATCAAAACTTAATTGTAATCAAATATTAATTAAAATAAAATACGTTACACGTTCTTTAATTTTATTATTTTCATTTAAAATAAACCATAATTAAACTCTTTCTGGTGTAATTTCATGTTTTTATTTATAAATCAATAATAATAATAAGCAGTTTTTAATAATTTTGACAGCTGCTGGGACGTATTTGATGGTAATTAAATATTTGATTACAATTAAGTTTTGATTAGCGTTCGAACAATCGGTTCTTATAGTTTAGTAAATTTGAAATAATTTAATCTATTCTTCAACTAAAAGTACGACATGAAATATTGCATATTATGTCTATGGTTGCCGTAAATCAACTAAACCGGTTTAATTTTTCTATGTACACCAGATAAAATTTCACTGAACAGCACTGGTTCCGTTTAAAACATGACTGATTTCGTCTGCGCTAACGAGATGCGCGTACCCACTTATCTTGGCAAGCAGAGTGGGCATTCTGATTGTTTTATTATTCTGTAACATTTTACTATAGAAAAAGTAATAAAATGCCAGTAAGTTTTTCGCTTCAAAAAATATAAATATTGCTCTGGTCTTACAAGATGAGCACTTGTGCCACTTTGCCAAAAAGGAAGCAATAAGAGCTGTAACAAAGCACGTGGTGTTCGTGTGTATTAAGGTATAAAAAAAGCGCTTATTAAAAGCTTAAAATTTTTTATTATAAAGAAGATCTTTTCGGAATTGTATCATTCCATCATCAGTTTAATAAAAAAGGTTGTTAAAAAAACATTGTGTGGCCACATAAAAAACATTCGATGGACATCTGGATTTAAAAAATAATAATCTTCATGTTATTTATTCAGGTAAATGCAATAGACTCTTGACTTGTGTAATATAAAAAAATTAAACTGGGGGCATCTTATATGACCCCCTGTAGTTGGTGAGGTTTTATTGACTTACATTACCTCTGATCTGTATTGGAGTCTAGGGCTAACTGCTCCACTGAACCACTAAACCATGAAGTGGATATCTCCACTTCATGGTTTGTTCCAGTTTCACTTTTAAAAAGCTGTAACAAAAGTTAAATCAGAAGCGTAAAATATAGAACAATAGATATTAACCGGATTAGATGTATCAGACGATAACAATAAAATACAAATGCTGGAAGAAAATATTAAAAAGCGTAAAAAATACTTTGACAATTTATGGGGCTACTTTGCGCACTAAGTTGCCTACATTTTGGCGGCTATTAATTTTATTAATATTTACATTTTGAAACGATTAAAAAGTGAAAATAGCAAACATTTAATGATTGATTATTAATGATTTTAGTATTTACCATTTAGTACTAGGTTACAGAATAATATTTAATATATTTTTAACACCTGGAATTTAATACAATTGAAATTTGATCAAATGGGAACCAGGTGTAAAAGTATCGACATACGTTTGGAACATTGACATTTAAAAACAATAGTTAAAAATATAAGTTTCTAAAATTTATGTTGGTAGCAATAGTTTAGTGATTTGTGCCGATGAAAACATCATAAAATGCCGCTAATAAAAAATACACTAGTTGTTTGGTTTGGTTTGTATCCGCTTTCGTTGGGTGATTAGCCATTTTGCTTTTTGCTCAATTGTTGAGAAAGCCGGTTTCCCATAAGTTCGCATCTACCTCAAATTTTGTATCTTTATCGTTTAAAAATCGCATTACAATTTACATTTTAATACATATAATCATTTTAACACGAAAATAAAGAACTAAAGGTTTGTGTAAAGTTGTTTCTGAAGAATACCGTTGTTTTTAAGCTTAACCTTTATCTCTTTGTGCAGAATTTTACCATGTCCACATCTCTTAAGAGAAAGAGGGCCCCCTCGAAAAAGGCAGCTGGGAAGAAAAATAAGAAAAGTTTAGACATGGATTCTGATTTAAGTGAAGGCAGTGGTGGTGAAAATAACGTTCAGCCTGATGAAGTCCTCATAGCCGGAGATGGGGATATCAATGAAACCCCTCTACCAAAAGAATTGTTAAATACCATGATCAAACCTGCTGGTCAGCTAATCTTTTTCGGAAATATTAACTGGGACACGATGGGGAAGAGGGAAGTAAAAGGACAGAAAATTTTGCCCATGTTGTACTGGCCCCACAGGTTTACTGATCTAAGGGTATGTATTGCCTATTTGTTTTTATAACATTAAATATCAAACATAACTAATTGTGGCATACCAATACCATCTGTTAATTATTTTTAATATCTGATAAGAATTCTAATCATCAGGTGTACTACAGGCTAATGAACTTTGTAACTACATTCAACTATACTGTTGAATACATGTTTGCTTCTAAGAAAGAATTAAATAATACTAGGTGCAAGTGCAAGTTTGTTTTCATAGAAAGATGCTTTTTTTCATAGAAAGATTTTTTGTCATTTTATCATTTTTTAGTTATTAAAAACTCAGTAATATTTATTAGAAAGCACTTGTCTTCTTAGTACTGTATTTTTTTAATAGTTATGAATGGAAACAGCACTTATATATGCCCTGCTATTAGAAATTGTTTTTAAATATGTTTGTAAGAAAAGCAATAAGCATTACATAAGTTAATGAAACCAAATATTAAACTTTTTTGAAAATTATATTGCAAGAAGTACATTCAAAAAGGTTTTGAGAAAAAGAGGAGAACTATTTGCTATCTATCTATACAGCTATCTTAGATCTAGATTGGGGTATCTATATAAGATCAGTAGAAGAAATGAACCTTTAAAGGGTTTTGCAAGGTTATCTCCTTTCACCAGCAATATTTAACTTTACACATAATACAGATTTAGGTAATAAAGCACATAAAACTAGCAAAGAAAAAACTATATGTTACAGAAAATGTTTCAATTACGAACGTTCACACATTCATAATTGTAAAGTTCATAATTGAAACATTTTCTGTAAGGGATTTAGTATTGCAGATAATTAGTTTTTTTTTTGTTCCTGAAAAATAGAGATTTTGGAATGTATATATTTTTTAACTCACTGATTCAATTATTGTAAATTTGTAAATAAAAAAATTAAAGTTATAACCAAATGAAAGAAGTAGCAGTAAGAATTATCAAAAATAAGATAAAGCAACAAGTGTCTTTTTTAACATGAAAATTATTAACCAGTGGTGAGTTCAATCTTGAACTCTAATTAGTACTAATAAAGTTTTCTTAATTTTCTTAAATTAGTACTAATAAAGTAAATTAGTTCTAAAGTTTTCATAATAGTTGTAGTAATTTTTTGAAACTAAAAAGATATAATTTCTTATCATTAGTTTCTACATAAAAAATGAACTTATAATTTTTTTTTGAAAGTCAAGAAAATATCAGAATTGTTACATTTAACTATAAATGAATCTGTCATTTTGAAAAAGGGCCACCTCACTTTTATTCTTTAGTGCTCACCATAACACCTCTACCTTTATATCTCACAGGAGAGGTAGAAAACTTGTTATCTTCATTACTATTAGGAACTTTATGTATTTTTTGGTTTTATAATTTACTATACAAACCGAGGAATATTATAAAAAGATATTTTTTAATTTCAAAAGACCTAGAAACCGAATTTTTTTTTTTTTTTAAAGGGATTACCCGTTTTCAAAATGAACAGGTATTACAAGTAAAAATAGTCAATATAATATGAATATTATTTTTTATTAAAAACATTAAACTGCTACACTAAATTTGGAAAGAAAAAAACAAAAGGATTTAAAATAATTCTCTCTCTCTCTCTTCAATCCTGGCCTCCCAGGGGGAGTGTAGTGGTCGACGTGATGTCGTGTATTGTCCTTCTCCAGAGATCTCTGTCTCTGGTCATTTCTTTTAATTCATGCATAGGTCTTTGGCATATTCCTGTAATTTGATCTATCCATTTTGTTGGAGATCTTCCTCATGATCTTCGGCCTTCTACCTTTCTTTGTATTATGAGTCTTTCCATGTTTTCTGTGTTTGCTCTCATAACACGCCCAAAATATTTTAATTGTTGCAGATGGACTTTACTAGAGAGTTGTTGGCTAACTTTTAGCTCTCTTAAAATTGAATTATTTGTTCTACGGTCGGTCCAAGGAATTCTAACATTCATCTCCAACAGAACATTTCAGTGGTGTCTATCTTTCTTCTCTCCGATTGTCTCAGAGTCGAAGATTCACATCCGTAGGTCAGTATTGGGAATATTAAGCAGTTGATCAACCTCATCTTTATCGCTCTTGAAATTTGACAGTCCTTCCATATTTTGGTCATTTTCGCTGTGGCAACTTTTGCTAGATCACATCTACATTTAATCTCTTCTTGTAATGACCCTGTGTTTGTGATTAATGATCCCAGATATAAGTATAAGCTCACAACCTCGAACCGGTCAATTGTGGTTATGTGTGGATGATTGTTGTGTAGTCTATCCACTATCATGATCTTTGTCTTTGATATGTTTAATTGCAGACCAAATATTTGACTTTCGTTTTCGATCAGTCGTATAAGTTCCATCAGCTCTGCTTGACTATTTGCAAGAAGGGCTGTGTCATCTGTGAAACGTAGGTTGTTTAGTTTATGACCATTTATTGAGATGCCCTTTTCCCATCCTTCGAAGTGCTCTTTGCATAATATACTCCCCATATATGTTGAATAATTGTGGAGATAGTATACATCCTTGTATGACACCCCGTTCTGGATGAAACTCGTTCGAAAGTGTGTCAAGTACAAGTTAAAATAATTAAGGATAGTTTAATTATCTCCTTGTTCTGCTTCTTCGGCACTGGTAGTAGACCATTTACAGATTATATTGTAGAATGACTTGTGATTATCTGGAATTTATTATAAAAGCCTTATTTTTTTATGTTTATTAGAATTGTCCCCTGATAGGCAGGAAGATTTTGAGGATAGGTACAAACAAGGAGGGAACTGCCCAAAATGCCATAAATGTATGGTTTAGCTAAAGCCATACCCAAATTAGCTGAGGAAAAGCTTAATTCGTAATAAGAGTTAATACTTAATCTAACCTTTTCATTTTTTGTAACTTTACCAAAGCTTCCTGTGGAACTTTTTTTTTAATCTGGCCACCATTTTCTAAAAGCAGCTACATGTCTAGTGTCTACACCATATTCCAGTGTTTTCTCTAGAATTTGTCTCAGGGTTGAAATCTGATGAATTGTTGATTTACCACCTCTGAAACCAGCCTGTTATTGTCCTATTATTCGCTCTGCATACGGTGCCATTCCACCTACCCGCCAGTCCTAGGACTGTTTAGGGTGTTCTCCTATCCACCACCTGGGGATGCGTCCGATGGGTGACAGACAACATCCACACAGATTGTTGTTTATATACAAACTTCATCGGGACCTCCATGTCCTTCGCCTCTGTGGTAAGAGTAAAAGGTTGCTTTGTTAGTTTTAAGATTGTGTATTTTGATTCCTCCCTCCTTTTTTCGTTTTAAAGTAGATTTACTTGTACTACTATCACTACATGACATATTATCCACAGTGTCTGTTTCAAAACAGGTCTATGCAACTACTAAATAGATTGCATTGTCAATATAATAAACTGTTATACTGTGGGTAGGCCGGATATAATAAACCATTATACTGTGGATGGGTACAATTTGCTGTTCATTTTGAAAATGGGTTATCTCTAGGAGATGACTTGTTTTCAAACTGAACTAGTTTGTGGGGTATGCAGGTATGCTGTATTTACAGTAATAATAATGAAAGTTAACCCGTTTTTATAAGGAATAGATGCATCTTCATGTGTTAAATAGAAATTCGACAGAAAGTGGAAATGTCAAACAAGTGGAGATAGCTCCCTTTCCTAATGACTGATTCAAATATTCTTTTGGGTATGGGTATCTACCTAACAGTGAATCTATGCTTGCTTGTCATATTGCAAATTTTCATGGTAATGATATTTTTATACTGTATTTTATTTTTAATTTCTGTAGCATTTTCAATGATTCCACAGGCAAAAATGTAATGGCCCTAAGCAATATTTACATTATATTGATTTGATATCTACAACAGTATTACCATGTACTACACAATTACTGAAAGATCATAGTCAGATATCAATTTGCCCATATAAATTATTGTTTTGTTTTTAATTTTCTTTATTTTGCTTCTACCTTATTAAATTTTGTTTCTTAAATGGTCTCTTTTTCTTCCTGAATCTTTCATGATATATTCTTTTTCACCTATATTTTCTTCATTTGGTTTATACAGTTTTTATTATTACATATTTTCCTTGCAGTTAATTTTCATTCTGTACCACTTCAGTTTCTAAAAGTGTCATAGTATACCTTAAATTGTTTGACAATAATGAGTTAAATTGACAGTAAAACAATATTTATTCCAGATTCGTTTAGTTGTAAGTGGATGTGTGGCAGGTCATTCCATCCTAGTCACAGAAGACGGCAAAGCAATGACTTTTGGCAGAAATCCTCAAGGTCAACTAGGACTGGATGATACTGAATCCAGGACAACACCTACTTTGGTACCTGGACTGGAGAACATGAACATTATAGGTAATATTTTCTAACAAAGTTAGGGGGTGTTCAAGTATTATATACATGGACGTATAATTTATACGTCCATAATTATATAACATAATTTTTGAAGATTTTTGACCCCCTTCCCTGCATGTAATGCACTGTAAGCTTTTACAAGACCCACCTGCCTCTACCTAAATGTTACATAACACCCAAGTGACCATTTTTACTAACAGCAACAATTATATTGCTACAATTACTGGAAAGTTGGTAAAATAACTTTATTATTGTTTTAATCATATTTGTAATAACAAGCGATTTCTAACTCACAATAATACACTTTTACTGCTAATCTTACAATACTCCATTCTTACATACATTTTTGGCTTCATCCCTTGTGGTTTTTCTCATGCATTCTTGTATTTTAATTTATTAATAATAAATTCACAAATTAATATATTTACTTCTTTATTTGGCAATACAATTAGGAATTAGAAACGGAAATGTAACTGAAATAAAATATTTTATTCAAATTAAAATCATATTAAAAAAAAATAGAAATAAAATCACCAGGTAATCTCCAACACACACAAATCATTTTGGTCTGTTGATCATTTAATACAAAATTCAGCTGTTCTTGATATTTATTGATAAAATATACATAAATTTCAGTTGTTTATGGAGGATATTTACACATTCAAAGCAATAAAGAACCTTTTAAGCTTTGTTTATATTATTTTGTGTATATTAATTGGAGTAGTGCAAGCACTTTTGTATAAAAATACAGTCAATTTATGAATATTTCAAGGTGACAATCTAAGAGCACTTTAAAAATGCTGATTTTCCCCTATACATTTTATTAGGTACCAATTATTTATCTTGAGACTTAGTAACACCCTAAAAATTTTAAAAATTGTAAGATATAAGACATCAATCATGAGATTTGTCTTCAATTCTTGCTGGATAAATTGTGAAGAGTGATATCACTGTCTCTTTGTTCAATTGTTATGGTTCTTCTTTTTAGATTATTTAAGTAATAAATTTCACTACAATTCAGTCTGCTTAAGTGCCATAAATGTTTTAAGTTTCACATTTTAATTGAATCAAAGTGAGTTATGCTGACTATGCTTTCTGAGGATAGTCAATTAAATTTTATAACATTAAACTTCACTCAAAATTGTTTTGTCAAGTGACTAATAATTGTTTATTTACTAATACTATTATCTACTTATTGTAAATTCACAGCAGTTTTTTTACTTCTGCTTTTCTAAGCATATTCATGATTGATCATTATCACAATTTGTTTTAAAATATTTTATAACTTCCAATAAATATAGTGAAGACCATCTGTTTTATTTATTTAGGTAACCTAAAACCAAAAAATTTTATGGACTACAATGTTACAAGTTCATTTATTGCATTACTTTCTTTCTGTATTTTCAGAAAGTAAAATAATGTAGTTTGGAGAAAAACACATTTGAAAATTTTAGGAAACTTCAGTAATTAATAACTTTTTTATATTTGAATGGATTTACGTGGAATTTTGTTTGAGTACCTAACTTTACATGTGTCAAATAACAATTTATATTAATTAATAAAAAAGTGAAAAATAATTGGAAAAAAGTTAGTTGTCCTACTGTTGCCCTCAAAAATAATCTGTTTTTTAATGATATCCGTAAATTTCTGTTATACTCAATAGAAGGGTTTATTTCGAATCATTTGACATGAATATTACAAGTCATTTTTTTTTTACATATCCTACTGTTGCTTTGAGGCGACGATATGTTACTTTTTTTGCATGCTTAATTATATAAGTATAATGACAAAATTTAGGTATAATGACTGATTTTATTCAAAGTTAATAATTAAACTATACACCAATTACAATTTCAAGCAAATTAATTCAGTCATTACCAGGTTATAATTTTTTGAAACTTAAAAAGTGTTCTCCTGTAAAATTGTACTTTTTGTGATATCACATTGTTCTGGTAAATGAGCGATATATATAAGACATATATCTTAATGAAACTTTAAAAAATTTTAGGTGCTGCATGTGGTCGACATCATTCATTGTTTTTGACAGACAGTGGAACTGTCTATGCATGTGGAGATAATAAGTCAGGTCAATGTGGCGTAGGAAACTTACAACCCCAAATTTTAGTACCAACAAGGATCAATTATAGAGGACCTCCTATAATAAAAGTATGTTGAAAAGTATATTTTTCTTGAGAAAGATTCGTAAAATAATTTTGTCTTTAGTGTTTCATTAATAGTTTATGTTTATAGGTAGGCGCTGGCGCTGAATTTTCTGTTATTCTTGACATCAAAGGTGGTCTCCACTCATTTGGCTTGCCCGAATATGGCCAACTTGGACATAATACTGATGGCAAATACTTTAAAACTAGCACCAAACTGTGCTTCAACTATCAAACCAGTCCAAAGCGCATTGTTCTATATATAGAGAAGAGTAAAGATGGACATGTTTCAGCTGTGGATGTCACTGAAATAGTCGACTTTTCGTGTGGTCAGAACCACACTGTCGCTATTGACAGCAAGAAGAGGGCATTTTCATGGGGATTTGGAGGATTTGGAAGGCTGGGACATGCGGAGCAGAAGGATGAGATGGTAAGTTATTAACTGATTTTTATAGAAATTTTTTTGGAAAATGGATTTGGTTTTTTCTGGTCTGGTTTTCTGGAATCTATGTTTTGAATACCTTTTTAGGGGATAAACAATTCAATTTTATTCGGTGGTTTTCCTAAAAATAAATTATCCCAACAGAACTGTAACATTTCTTGTGCAATATTATTAATATCTAATAAGAAAAATGTAGGGCCCAAAGAGGAACCTGAGGTTGAAGAGAAGGGACCTCCAGTTGAATGTTTTTGCAACTTATTGTATAGGTAGAGAATAGAAATGTGAATTATTGATGTAACTTATTAAACAAATGCATTTTTTCATGACTATACATTCTTCCACAAAAAAACCTAATACAAACACATTTTTTTCGTGTAGGTACCTCGTCTTATAAAATATTTCGACAGCCAATCCAGAGGCGTGCGCTCAGTTCATTGCGGTTCAACATACTCGTTAGCCGTGACAGAGTTCAATGGTCTCTACATGTTTGGTCAAACCAAAAAAACCGGAGAGGCCAACATGTATCCTAAGCCCATCCAAGATCTTGCTGGTTGGAATATCAAGTGTATAGGCACCGGCCAAACCTCCATTATCGTCGCCGCTGATGAAAGCGTTATTGCATGGGGGGCCTCACCTTGCTATGGGGAACTCGGCTTGGGGGATATGCAGAAGACGAGTACTACACCAAAAGAAGTAAGTAAAATAAGTAAATTTACATAATTAATATGTTGTGGTCTGCACTGCTATTTGATGTTTAGTTATTTTTTTTTGCGTCTTGGTCTATAACCAGAACATTTTCACTGCCTGCGTGCATATACTATAAACTCCTTATGCTACTGCCACATATTACATTAACCAGAAGATTATCAATATGATTTCTTGTTTTTCCTCATTAGCAACCAATGGATATTTCTTATGATCAAACATCATTAATTTAATAAGGATTATTTGATATATTTAACTAAGACATTCTATGATATTTGATGTTTGCAAAATCGACTAGTCCCAGTGAATCATCTTTGCACTGTTTATTTATATTCACAATTCGTTGGCATTATATTCGTAAAATAACTGCTTGTTCCAACATATAGTTGTTAGGGATCGTATAGGTTTCTTGGGATTCTGGACTATTTGATGTTGTGTACTTTTTGTACTGCAGGCCTCTCGTTTCTCTTTACATTTCTATTGTATGTCTTTTGTGAACACCATGGTGTATTATTCTTGTTTCTTTTGTTCAGTACGACTTTGTGTTTTCCTAGAGCTTCTGTTGATGTTTCTTCAAAGTTGTTTTTAATTTTCTCCCAGACAGCGTTTATATCTTCGATATCAATGTCGAGAGTTGTTCCACAGTGATTCAACACTGAATTTTTCCTCAGTGATTTCCTGTAGAAAATATTTTGGTGTTATTTTCATTCTTATTTTTGCTAGTACTAGTTTGTGTTCACTCCCTGAGTCTGCTGAGTTTAAAGTTCAGATATCTAGAATCTGCTTTGGATGGATTTGTCTATTAGTGACTATAAAATCAATCATAGATTTGTGCCCTTAGCCATGAGTTCTCCATTTGCGTTGACATGGTTTTCATTAAATCTTTGTTTACTCCTGGAACTATTTCATTTCCAATTCGTGCATTAAAGCCACCCATAAGAATTAAGGGTTCTTCATGAGATATTTCATCCAGGATGGTTTGCAATTGTTTGTAGAATGCCTCTCGTTCCTCCTTAGATTTGCATTCCTCGGGGCTATAGATATGACATTTACTTTTTGGTAGTCCATTTTAATGTTCATATGTATTATTCTTTCGGAGATCTAACGGCAGTTATTTATGTTGTCTTAAAATTTTTTATAGACAAGTGTACCTATGCCTGCTCGTGCTCGTTGTTCTTTCTTCACTCTACTGTATTCTAGAAAATATTGGTTATAATCTCTTTGGCTTTTACCTTTTTTCTTGGTTTCGTGGATTGCACAAATATCTTATGTTTTTATTTATTATCTTATTTGAGTTAAAAAAAAGATTTTTAAAACATGCATGTTCCCTATTGATGTCATGTAATTGTTGATATATCGCATTAAGCCATAACACAGATTTTGTATTTAAAAATATTATTTTATATTTAAAATAGTAATTTCGTTTTTTACCGACTATACCAGTACATTGTAATTTTTTTAGGTCAACAAACTGTCTGGTGCAAAAGTGACGAGCCTCACCATGGGCATCTGTTTCACCCTTCTCGTCGCATCAGACGAAACCCCCGAACAAAAACAAAAATTGGAAGCGTTGAAAGAGTATACACCTTAGATATATAAGAAACTATGAAACACTTAGGTAGTAAGTTATTCCATGTATTTATGTCACTAATGATATGACCGTTAGAGCAATCGACAGCTTACACTACACACTTACCTTTTTCTTTGAAGTGAGAAAAAAGTATGAACGGAAAACCATCCAAGCGAGTGGCATTAGGGAATGTTTTCGGACTTTAGCTGGTTTAGTACCGATAAAAATTTTGCGTTTCTTAAATTTTTCTGTTTGGTACAATTCACATGAGAACGTGAATTGTGGTAATACTATAGTTCCATAAATATTGTATGTAGGCACAATCAATGAAGCTTTAAATGATGCAGATTTTCTATCAAGGGGAATCTTCTGTATAAAATTGATGTGCAGCCTGAAAACGCTTTGTGCTAAATTTGTAATAAAAAAGTGAAATAATTAATTTATCCCTTTGGTATCCGTCCCACGTGTGGTGATAGTCCAGCGAATAAGTAGTACTGCCAAATCTTCATATTAATCATTGCCAGGTAGAAAAAATTAAGTACTGTAAATACACAGCAAAGATGATAATTTTTGTTGGTACAAATCCACTTATATAAGTCTTAATGTACATAATTTAACATTTCATTCAATAAGTATTCATATACCAATTATCAACATCAGGTACTAGTTTAACATAGAAATATTTTTCGGTATTTTTTAATGTGGTGTAAAATAGTCATTTTTAATCTTTTTTTTTTTATAAGGTGTACATTTTTATTATTCATTTGTTTTGACAGAGAAGAGAACAAAGTCTGAATTTTTTTCTCACTTCGATTATGTTAAAATATTTGAGCTGTCAACTTCGAGGTAAAGTAAAATTTTCAGCATATACATCTGAAAATTCTTTTAGAAATTAAATGACTTGGTGGCGACATTTTTATAATAATTTTTTTACTAAATTTGGTAGATTTTGTCTTCGGTAAATAATTTTATGTATATAATTTGTCACGAGTAGTAAAACAGTGCCAGTATCATTTGAAGAACACTATACATCTATAATGTATATAAAAGTTTCCTACATTTGTTCTACCTTGTGTTATATGAATCGTCATTATAAGTGTTTTATTCAAATAATTTACAAAACTGGGGCATCAAATATATTCAAAATGTACCTCTTTAGTTTTTTTCTATCACTTAGATCGCTTGTGGTGCCAAACATTTCAGACTCTTTTGTAATGTTCTATTTATCATGATCGTTATATAAGATACTCTAATTACCTGTGCTACAGCTTATTGTGTGGCCTGGATATTGTGTTGTTATTCTGCATCTGATCCGAGCATACTCAAATTTTTGATACAGTTGCTCCAGAGAGGATGAGATCTTCATTGTCTTTTGCTTTCTGGGTTTTACTAGTAGAGTTTATTTTCCCAATTGTAGCATTATTCTTCTACTAGTAGGTAATTTTTTTCTTTTATGAGGGGGTGGTCCAAATGTTCGAAACATATCTCGGTCCTAAAAGGTGGGAGAACCGCCTTCCAGCCTCGGTTGTGCAGGACTCCTCCAGAGGGACCACGATGATATCCGAGGCCGCGCGCAAGGGTTGTTCGGACACTATTGAAGTCAATGCCAGAAACCTACCTGCTAAAAAACACCCTACTCAGCAGTGAATAACTGACTGGATTGCCCTGATTGGGACGTAACATCGGCACTTCATTTACCTGATCTCTCATTCACACACAATTTTCACGCATTCTAGTACTTTCTCAATAAAACTGAATTTTACAATCTTACAATCTCACTCCTTTTCATTTTGCCTTATCTTCTTGCTTACTCCTGGATACCGTTCCTTCCTTTGGGACGCCTTTCTTCTTGTTCCTTTCTCTCCAATGTTCTCACATATCTTTGAACTGCTCTACACCGATCTGACAACCTAAGCATCTCCACCAGTTCCGTGACTAGTTGCACCCTACTTCCTAGCTCTCTCTCTCTCTCAAGCAAGCTCCTGTCATCTATCCATCTACCGCATACCAATAGAGTGAGACAGTGTCCAATATATCACAATACAGGCATTTGTCATTTTCTGTCTTTCCAAATCTGTAAAGATATGCCCTGAAGCAACCTGTCCTGTGAGCATCTGCGTCAGGAGGTAATCCAAATGTCGGTGCCCGCAATTCATCCATCTTCTCAGATTAGGAATAAACAACTTCGTCCACTGCTCCACCCTTCTCATCTCGTCCCATTCTTCTTGCCATACCACTATGGACCTCTCACTTTCTTCTTGTTTTAACCATTGTTGCTATGTCTTCATTTCTTTTCTCGTATATTCTTCCTCTTTCCTTCACTAGCACGTGCATCGGAATACATCCGGTGATAACTCACAACGCCTCGGCAGAGACTGTTCTGTATGCACACGCCACCCTCAATAAACTCTTCCTATATGCTCGAGTGAGCTGCTTTCTGTACGCCTTTGTTAAAACTGCAGTACTCGAGACGGGTGCAGCGTAGAGGACAATTGATTGCACAACAGAATGAAGGGCCCTCCTCCTCTCAGTTTTGAGTCACCGCCTTTCCGTTACCCTTGTAACGGAAAGGCGGTGACTCACGGTAATTAAAGTGCTCACCCACTTTCCGTTATGGCTCGGAGTCGCCCCTAAATACCTCACGCATTTCTTTGAAACCACTCTCTTTCCTGCACATTCGAATGTTATCCCGTTCCTTTTCCTTGGTACCTTGAGAACTATAGCGTCGGTCTTACCCGCAGCCAGTTCTAGCTCATGCATTTTCATCCATTCATTCCTCGACTTTGTTGCATGTACGCTGTGCACCAAAGATAAGGTTCTCCCTGTCTCGCGCCACTACGCGAGGTCGTCCACAAATACGAAAGGAGTTACATCCTCTCCGTATTGTTGGCTCACAACACCATCATATGCCAAGTTCCACAGCGTGGGTCCTAGGACTGACCCCTGCTTCACTCCAGCCGTCACATCAACCACTACTCCTTTTTCTACCACAATTTTCCTCTCTGAAAGATAGTCGGAGACCAAATTTATCAAGTACCTCGGACACGTTCTCCCTCGTAGAGCCTCCATTTCCTCTTTCCATTTTAATGTGTTTAATGCATTCTGGACGTCAAACAACAATAGGATTGCCCATCTCTGGTTAACCCCCACCCCGCATAACTCCCGGAAGACTTCCATCAGCGCATCATATATAATAGACACTGTGTCTATTTGTCCTCTTAGAAGCCCCTTGTATAATTTACCTATGCACGACAGAAGGCAAACAGGTCAATACTTATATTACCCCTTTATCACGAGCATCTTCCATTTTGTCGGAAATCGCTGAGTTTCAAGCAGTACATTCATGTGTTCCAAAAGCCACGTCGGCTCCATACTGCCAATGCGTTTCACCGCTTCTGGTGGTATTTCATCGCTACTACTAAGTCCTTCATATGGCCTACCCATTTTAACCTGTATCTATACATTATGGCACTTTTGTTGTGATGATTTATACTTCACAGAAAATGCACATGAACAACACAATAGATCTTCTGTCAAATCTTCCACTCTGTTCTGAGTAGTTGTTTTTCACTTATCCTTGAAGTTCCTGTCCCAGCGAGTATTCTAACCAACAACCTAAAAGTACACTATAGTCTATATTATCAACCACCAATGTCACAATATTGCATCATAAAGATCTCTCTTCTGAGGTAAAACCATCTTAGTATTGTTCAAATGATACTGATTTCATTATATGATCTTACGTTACATTTCCACAGCCTTCCTTTTAATGATTTGTATATTCATGTTTTTTATAAAAAAATTATCCGAAGACAAATTATCTACCCTGTATACGAGTTTAAATTTTTGGACTATTTTCTAGATATACATATTTTTTTATTTTGCAGTATTTTTTACTTTTGTACATTCGATTCATTTTTATTGTAACTTAATAGTTATTATTAGGTGTTAGCTCTGGAAGTTATAGTTGTATTCTACAACAAATAATTGACCTATATGATCTAACAGATCCATAACTTTTACGATTGGTTATTCATTTCAGATGACTCATTGTCACATACTAAAAGTCATGTAAAATAAAATATAAATTTTGTAAAAATAAAAAAGGAAGCATATAAACTTAATGTTTTTGTATGTTTTGTAACAAAGTTTTATGATTCCTTAGTATAAAAACTTTTTTTATTATTTTTATATTATGATAATACAACCAACCACTGGGAATGTTCTCAGAGTGATTTCGTATATATTTTTTATTGATGCTGTCACTATATCATAATTATAAACCAGTACTGCCAAGTTTCTATTTTCATTTAACTTTTACTGCATTTCCAGAGTTATACAAATTGCACTGCAAAGATCATGTTTAGATTAGATGTAAGAAAAAATATTTCCTAGACAACTTCGTTTTTTTTTACTTTCGATACTTTTAATTACATTAGGTTGAAGATGTTTAACTCTACACTCAAATATCGAATGTATTATATATATTAGATGTATTTTTTGTATTGTTTAATTGTACCTTCTTCGAAATAAACATTTTACATTTAAAATTTGACTATTTTCTGAATCTGAGTGAATTCTCTAATGCCGCGTTTCCGCGAAGCATCTACAGGTCAGCTGCCCCATGTAGAAACATTGTATATCAAATTTTTTCAAAATCACTTATCGCATTTTTTTATATAGTGTGTTATTACCTATCGTTTGAGAAGGAACAAAAAATACATAAAAATGAGTAGAACCAAAATTTACTGTTGCTATGAAACACTATATATCATATTCCATATTCACTTTACCAATTTAAAACACATTATATCCATACAGCCCTCCCTCACAGTCCGACACTTTGAAATCCGACGTACTCGGTAATCCGACGCGCCGCTACGGGAGACAAGTTCCGTGTTCAAGTGTTCAGTGTTCAGTTGACTTTCGTAGCGGACGTGCACGTGCATTTCATTTTCCCTGCGCAGTTAGTTCAAGTGTTCGCGTACAAATGGCAAAATGGCAAGCACGAGTGGTGTTAA